TATTCTATATATGTATATATGTATATATATATATATATATTATATATATATATATATATATTATATATATATATATATATATATTTTTATAATGTAAAACAATTATTGGTTTAAAAACAATATCAAATTGAATATTGAAAAATAAAATAATAAAAATAATATTTTATTTTATGTAAAAAGTTCAGAATTGTTTTAATAAATTATATTCTTATTTTTATATTAGATCAAAAAAAGATATTTAAACTCAAATATTACATTACGATTTATCACAAAGTATGTAGTGTCATTCTATTGATATAATTTATACGTATTTAATTAACTCGAATATATATGAAATACATTTGAAATATATTTGAAAATTTTAACAAATAATATGTCATATAATTTAGAATTTCTTTTTTCATTTTTTATATTTAAGTTTAATCTGATTTTTAAATATATAAATTCATATTATCTATAAATTCATTTAATGATATTTTATGAACAAATTGGGATAAGTAATTTATAGCATATTATCTTATCTAAAAGTTATATACAATTAATATCAGTAATATTTTTGTTATAGTGGCAAATAAAACTTTCCCAAAAAATCCTTTTGGTATAGTAACCATCAAATGGAATTACATTTAAAAAGTGAACATTAATAAATTGTAATTTATCAATTTATCAATTACTGAAACAGCATTTGAAATTACTATCAATTTTTTTTCTTTTGTTAAATATAGCTTACAATTTTTAAAAAGTGCATCATGCGTAAAATCTGTTTGAATTATTGATAGTTAAGTAATATCTAAATATACTTTTCATTGATTTGTCTCAATGTTGTAACTAGCAGTCAAAAGACACCTAAGTCTTCAGAGTGCAGAAAAATGTTTATCCTGTTAAATAGTTAATCATATTAGATAGTATACATGCTAGTGTATCTATATGTATGTATATATGTACATTATATTACAGATATCATCATAAAAAGGGGTATTTCGTGCTAATCCACTCCAGCAAACCCTTGAGAACCTTCAATTGCTTTTATCAATTTCTCTCTTAGTTGTTGATAACTTTCATATGGAGGGAGATCTATGCGATTAAAACTGAAAAGGGAATATTGATCATCAAATATAATCTTATTTTTTTTTTTTTCACTTTTTTTTCTCAAATCTTCATTATATTTTTAATAATATTTTTATGTTTTTAGAAAAATAATAAAATTGATTTAAAAAATTATAATTTTTAACCTCTTGCCTATAATGACATGTAATATATATTTTATAAGCCAAACATGAGAAATACGAATTAAATTCATGATATGTATATACATAAAATTAATCGTAATATAAAAATTATATTATTTTGTTGAACGATTTTATTAAAAAATTTAGTAAACATATCAAGTACGTAACGAATTAAATCATTAAAAAAATAATCACGACAAGAGGCTAATTTGAAAATAATTTTAATTTTAATTTAGAAAATAATTTTTTAAGCTTCATATTAAAAACTTAAAGTTACATACCAAGTATGAGCTCTTGGATAATTTTCTGGTGTACCCCACTTCTCAATTGTAAATAATTGTGGACCATTACTACCATAAAGTTCTTTAAAACCATTCATAGGTACTCGTGATGTACCAGTAACAAACTGTAAAAGTCTAGATCTCATTTCATTACTGAATGAAAGTACCACTCGCCAAAACCACTGAACAACAATGTGATTAGCATGATAATCTCCTTTATATAATGTATTTTGTTTCCAATCTCTTACATCAATATGTTGAATACCACACATTAGTAATTCTAATTCATGTTCATCAAATATTTTAACTAATGTTGGCGGTATAAGAGCATTAAATCCTTCTAAAAATGCATTCATTTGTTCTTGAACTCTTGATACAAAACGCCACTGTATAACTAAAGCGATGTATTCATCCTTATTTTCATCTGTCAATGGTATATTAGCACCATCTGGTTTAAGTTCTCTTTGAGATGTATGACCAAAGCTTTCTTCATCGACACAAAATGTAAGTTCTAATTCACTAGGATCATTTTCCTTAATCCATAATAATGAATTGTAATATTCAGAATCAACGCTTTCCATATCTTTCAAATCAATAGATTTACCTAACATCATTTTATAAAATGGACGAATAAAAAATGCTGTAAAAAAATGAAAGCTTTTTTTAGATTTTTATTTTATGAAATATTTTATAATTAAATTAATGTAATTTAAATAAATTAAATAATTCTTACCATCTAATAGCTTTCCATGATAAACAGCCATACCTGCTATACGACCAATAAATTTGAAATAATTTAAATGTTCTTCATTACATACTCCAGAAAAAGGATTAATTTGCAAAGTATAATTATCCCTATAAATATTTCAATTATTCAATTATTATATTTTATATTTTATATGTTATTGATATACATATATACTTACGTAGCTGAATATTCAAACAATCCATAATAAGGATTAAACATTTCTTTAGACAATAGGAAAAACCATTCTCGAGCAAGACCTCCATAATCTAAACCAACTTCTCCTTCAAATTCAACCCACAATTTTGTTTTTAATATCTCTACTCTGTTAACGGAACTAATTATACGATACGAATCTTCTAAAATGTTATTTCGACCCACTTTTATTCAAATTTATTAGGAACATTATTCTAAAAAGAAAATATAATTATAATAATATATATATTTTATATAAGAATTCTTATAAAAATAAGATTTTCTAGTATTATATACTTACAGGCTTTCTTAATTGAGACTTAAGATATTCGTATTTACGCTTATAATCTCGTGAATATGGTACAGCCTATGAATAAATAATAAATTAACAAATTGAAATATACTTTATATATAATATGATTTTTTAATCAAATTATTTTTTTGCATTAAAAAATCTCATACCGGTCCAGCAATTTGAGGATTAGACATACGCGGATCTTCCCATTGGGTTGTTCTTGTATCTGTAAAACAATAGGAAAACAAATATTGCATAATTAAAAATTATCAAAGTTATCAAATCTTAAAAAATTTAATCATAATTAGAATTATTGATTTACTATGATCAATAAAAAATATCCGGCCATCCGTATGAACTCTTTCTTCCCAGCCTTCAGGAAGAGGACCAAGCTGATCTAAATCGCTTCTAGGTGTTGTGGAAGGTGCAATATGATTAGGTATCGAACTTGGACGTCCTGTTCGAGGATCAATCCATGTTGTTGTTCTCGCAGTATGATCAATAAAAAATACTCTGCCATTTGGTGCTATTTGCATGCCCCATCCAGGTGGTAATCCTTCATCATTTGCCGGAATCACAGGTTTTGGACTTTCAATCTAAATAATAAAGCAACAAAAATTAAAGAAAATGATTACAAAAAATAATTCTTACACTTACTTGTTCCGACGATCGTCTAGATCCAGCTGGACTATCCACACTATCGTCACTCTGTAAAAAGTAATAATAATATTTAAAAGTAATAATGATAATAATTTTTATATAATATGTAGAATCTGTCATATAACAAAAAAATTTAGATCTTATATATTTTTAATTTTGTCAAAATTTATAATATATAATATAATATAATATATTATTCATTATCATTATTTGTTTATAATAAATAATATTATTTATAATATTAATCAAAATAATGCAATATATTAATTCATATAGAAATCCAAAATATAAAATTTTTATTAAATACATATGGAATTATAATATAACAAATTATTAATATTAATTAAATGTTTACAAAAACAATGATAGATAAAAAGTCAATTAAATTAAATTTTGTTAATTATAATAGTTAGTTTACAATAATAATTGTATGGTGAAGTTTTAATATATATATATATATATATATATATATATATATATATATATAT